CTTATATATATATATATATATATATATAATTAAATTTATTAAATATTATTTACATATTTATAATTTATATATATATCACACATATAAATCTCTTTTTATCAAAAATTATTATTATTAGAAATAAAAGTATAAATATATGAATGAATTTAATAGAAATGAAACTTATAAATGATAGAATTTATTAAAATGAAATAATATTAGATGATCATAATGATCTTACACAAAGCAAGTTTTTCTAATTTAGTATAAGTGCTCGCTATATTCTTTCCAATACTCTTAGCTATCATCATAAAATTCGAATAACTCTGCAATTGACGTGCTCGACGAGGGTTTTGCGAAATCACCGCTCGTGCCACGGTTCTGCTTTGCATCATCCGAATGGCATTAATGAATTCATTAGTTCTATCGCGGGACGTCATTGTCGATGGTGCGATGTCCGCTTGCTTTTTTGAGTTTTGTGTTAAATCGCACCGCTCACTTTCATGATTAGAACTCTGCTGACTTATGATACTGCCCTGCCAAGGACTATTTGAGGTTGTGATCACGAAACCATGGTCTACACCATGCTCCAAGCCAACGTGTCGTCTACGTGCTGGCATTGCATTCTTAGTTTTTTTACGAATTTACACTTTTACGACTTTAAAAAACGCAATACGTATTACTCATTTATCTAAAATATTTTTTACCAAATGCATCAACAGATTGAAACTGACACGTCCACATGACAGTTATATTTGCATAGTGATTTTTGTTCCTATATTCTGACAACGTCGGATGTCATGTTGTGCATTCGCTGAAATGAAATATTACTAGGATTATGTTTAACATCATGAAATTTAAATTTGAACATTATTTATTCTTAAAGCATGAAACAAATATTTTATGAAATATTTTTATGTATAATTTTTAAAATTAATAATGAATTTTAACAATTATTTATAATTATTTATCACATATTGTTATTATAAAATGTTTTCAAAATTGTTTATAAAAATTTCTTTTTTCTACGTATATGTATACACAATATTTATTTACATAAATGAAGTTTAATTTATAATAAAATATAATAATATAATAAAATATAATTTATAATAATATGTTAATGCAAGATTATTAATTTTCTATACATTTTTTGTATGAATTTATATTTCATTACAATATTAAATGATTTTTTATTTTAATATGTAATTGTAATTTTATTACAATTTTACAAGATAAATCAATTTTCATTTTTTATTTAAAATATTTTTTCATTAAAAAATTGTCTTCATATAACTGATTTAAATTGTATTTAATTATATTGTTCTAGAATTTATAAAAAAATAGATATTATCAATTTATTTTAATTTTTTCTCACTCAAAAATTTAAATAGAGAATTCATTTTATAAATATATCCATTAAGTTATATTAATATTAGATATTAAATTGTATATTTTTAATCGTTATATTTTTAATTTGCTATCATGATACTTACATATGCACTTTTTTAAATATTTAAAAAATTTTTATTAATGTAAAACGTTGATTGATCATTACAAATGAATACATATATAAAATTTCTGTTACATGCTATATATATTTTTGTTAAAAAACTTGAAACCAAAGAAAGGAGAGAAAGGAAAAATTTAAGAGAACATTTCAAACTATATCTTTTTATTTAAACAAAAATTTAAAAAAAAAATATTCTCACTCCCTTTTGAAAAGTTCTACCATTGAATAATCATAGATAAAATATAATTTGTAATACAATCTTGTTATTACATAATATAATTTTATAAAATAATCATATGCGAATTTGTAATTCACTTATTAATCTTTGAGGTACATAAGGAATAATCGGCTTCATTCTGAATCATTATAAATGTATAACAGATAAAACTATAAAAGAACATAAAATATATGTATATTATCTCTATTAACTCTCTACGATAATCAACATTTTTTTGTCTCGCGATAGTTTACAATTTTCGTACACGAATGTCAGTTTGAATCCGAAAGAGCTTCACGGACGGAAATCTTGTTTTTTTACTTCTCTCTCTCTCTCTCTCCTCTCTTTCTCTCTCTCCATTCATTTACTATATCACTTCCATCTGATTCAACTATAGTATATATTTATATTATATCTATTTATATTGTATTACGATACAATCAGAATAGTATATAGCATATAGGTTTAAGGAAGATTAAATTATTTTTACAAATTTTGAGATGGATAAATTTTATTCGAAAAAGGATCATAGAAATATTTTTATAACTATAAGTGTGTAATAACTTCAAAATTTTTTACATAGATATACGATATAATATACAAGGAAAAAAAAATTTTCATAGTAAATTAAGGAAAAATGGATCTTTCGGATTCAATTAATCTGACATTGCCTTTTAAATTATTTCTTTGCTGCTTCAAGCAGTTAATATATCTCCTTGATTCTTCGGTATCTCGTTATCGAAATCTTCGACGCTTTCTACACTCCTTGAAGATTGGGTGCTGGTGTCATTCGTTCCGGTAGGCAAAGTGGTTACATCGCTGTCCGCTTCGCTGCTTACCGTTGTCAAGATTGTTTCATTCTGGGGTCTCACATCGATTACACGGACGCGGATCAGTGTGCTGTAGTCGTCGCTACCATCGGTATAAGTCGTTTCATTAATGGTCACCACGTGTCCATCGATGATCTAAAAAACAATGATATTAATTTCTAATATAATAAGATTTAATTTAATCTGAAAATAACAGTGACACAAATAGCAGCGATGACAGATAATAACAGTGATAGATAAATAGTGATAATTAAAAAATGATTGATGAAGAAAACTATGTGTAATATTTTTAACTTCTTTTTAAAAGATTGAACAAAATTTTTCTAAATAGTTTTTAAATTAATTTTTTTCATTTTCTAGAATCATATCTAACTTGAATGCAATACAATTATATTTTAAGATGAAACACGGAATGATACATTAAAAATTAAAATGCTGCACATCAGTTCAAGTGGCACATCAGTTAGTTCATCCCAGGAAATGTAGCAACCGGATCGGCATTGATGTGCAGATTTCGTTGCGCAATTCATTACGTAAATTACGACAATGTATATTGCACGTATTCAGAGGGGTACATGTTACTTGTACTTCAACTCTTAAGTAGCATTATTAATTATATTTGAGTAATGCTAAAGTTGAAGAATTTTGTTTCATTATTTCATCTTTCACAAGAGGTAAAAGACAGAATTATTGTGGTACGTTGTCTTTACTTTGAGCTTAAAGCTAATAACGTAGAAGTATCTTTTCGAAGAAAATATTTAAAGACGATTATAGAATTATTTTATGGATATAGTTACATTTAACATTTTGATTAAATCTTGATTAATTTATAATATTTTATAATTTATATATAATATTTGTTAATATCGTTAATATAAAATTATTTTTTTAATAATGAAAAAATTAGACGAATATTAAAATAATTAAATATAAAAGTTTTATATAACTTTTCTTAGACATTTCTTTTTTCACGACTTTTTTCGTGAACTGAATATCGAAAGTACAAATCATCTCATAAGATTTTCATTCTCAATGAATAGAATATACTTCTTATAGTATTATATCTGTATTCAAATGTATCATTGCACAAAGATAATACTAGATATATATGTATGCATATATTGTGACAAAGGGTTTCAACCGAAGGAACGAATTTGAGTCAGTGAACTGATTGGCTGAACAAGGCAACCGGAAATGAGCGTAATATTTACGCGTGACTAACCTTGGTGGTAGAGGTAGTGTTCGCTCCTTCAGGAATCTTGTTCCAATTCACAACACCTTGCTCGGGAATACGTGACAAAATGCCAGCCATCTGCTCCCTCACTTTCTTCATGTGAGCTGAAATTGCACCTAAAAGATATTATTATATTGATAAGAATGATATATTGATAAGAAATAAATGATTAATTGAAATTTTCATTGCATAATTATGATGATACTAATCGAGAATTGGATATAAAAAAAGCTCTCAACGAATTATATCGTAGACATTAATAAATCTTTTTTGAGAATATTCATTTCTTCTCTTTATTAAATTTTAAGATTAAATTCTTATTTTAATAAAAAGAAGAACATTAGATTAAAAATCAAAAGTTAAAACTAATTTGAATTTCTGATTTAATGAAATTCTATATTCGTGTTGTATATAATATTATTTATAAATTGCTATCTGGCCAATATTCTTTTGAAGAATAGAAAGAAAACTTTTATCATTTGTTGATTAAATTGAATTTATTAATTAGGGATGGAAGCTTTCGATAATTGAAAAAGGATTAAGAAGTCCGATTTGACTTTTTACAATAATATTTTTCGAATTGAATCTTGAATTTGTTGTGAAATGAAAATAATTATATATTATTTATCTGAATAAATACATATTATATATTATTATTTGTAAAAATATTACAATTTTTAATCAATCTAATTTCAATTAATGAAATAATGAAATTCTAGATTTTAATTAAATATATTTTTTTCTAATTAAAATAAATATTTGTAATATATATGTAATAATAATATTTTTAAAGATGTTGATGCCAAGCTTAAAGTATTAAATATTCCGTCATCTTGTATTGATCAAAATATGTATGTATTTCTGTTTCAGATCAATGAGTACACATTGAACTTGACCCTATTATAACAAATATAAACCAACCAATAAATTTATCAATCTGTCTGAAATAGAATATTAATTTTAACATACATATAATATTTGGAATTAATCTCAACAGCCATATTTAACTTTTAATAATTTAAAGAGAAAAATACTATAATAAATAATATTACAAGATTATAAAATTAAATATTAAATTATATTAATTTCTACCATTCCATCTTCTATCAATTTAAAATATAATAGAAAATATAATATCACTATAACACACATACACATTAATAATATTTCTATAATTTTTAACATTTTGAAATAGTTATCGTCGCAATTTCAAAATAATAATAAGACATCTTTTTTTTCAGAATATATTTTTATTTACTATTTCCTAAATTCTCATTCGATGAGCTATTTCCCAGGAAACCAATAAAAGAAACTTTAATATTTTGATATTCATTCGTCGAGTAAACGCGCCATTCGTACAAAAATGAAATATCCATCGATATTAGTATCATGAATCATTAAGAAAAAGAATTCAGAAACTAAAATCAGACTTGCATTGTATAAATCTATAGAATATTTCCTATGAGAAACATAAGAAAGAGAGAATAATATTCAAAAAACCTTATCTAATGATGTAATGCTAATCTAAGAACATCAAATATAATTCAAGAAGTACTTATATATAGCTACACGTATGCATTAAGAGAGAATTATCAGTTGAAAGGCAGATACGAAAATAGAAGCTGTAATTACTTCTATAGACTACCGTCGATTGAAATTGCGCATTTAACCGCTTTATCAGATGAAGAATAATAACTTAATATAATGCGATTACGTGATTTTTTCATGTCAATCTCACAAGAATGTTTCAATCGATATAAACAATCATATATATAAATGTTTTGATTGACAAAATCATATTGTATATGAGATGTATATTAGATGACTGAAAATCGAATTTGTAAGTAATATTTATAATAATTATTCTTATTTATTCTTAATTATATTTCAAATAATATTAAAAAATATAAGATGTAATATAAGATAATATTTACGATATAAATTATTATTTTAGAAGTATATTTTAGATTACAAACCTATGTTACAAAAATGTAGTTTTTGAAGAAAGTTAACCTAAAAAGATAAAAGATATAAAGATACAAAAGACATTTTCAATTGATAATGATTATAAAGTGATATTTTCAATTACAATTACAATTGAATATAGATCAACGAGAAAAATCAAATAAAAGCATCTTAACCAAAAACATTACGTGAGATTAATAAGAATCAAGTGATTAACGCATCCATCTTTTTTCGTTCTATTTGTTGAGCATGCGCACTTTATAGTTCTGAAATTGTACGTAAGTAGGTACTACGTGAATATAACAGTGCATATTTCTTAGACAGAGAAGCTGCATACATGAAACTTTAATTAATTCAATGTAATATATATATTTGAGTAAAGAAGTTGCTCTACTCTAAGTCATATATATATATATATGTTTGCCTTTAGTAAGTTGTAAGCTATAGACTCGTATATGACAAGAGACTTCCAGAACTTGGTAATCATAAACATGCGATACGCAATGCAGGACAAACAGAACGCGAGGAATACAATAAAGACAACCTCGAGTTTGTAAGGTATGATGTAGACCATGTGACAGTAGTGGTCGAATACAAATCATCACGAGTTCGTGTTTCCCGATAGAGATTATTAAGCACTTGGAGAACGCAATAAAGATTAAACCCTCTAGGATCATTGAAATTCGGCAAAGACCACCATTAAATCGTACGACATGATATACTTATGTTATATTGCAATCATATGAGAAACAAGCTCTTTCATGCAAGTATGTAGATTTGAAGGAATAATAGGATTGTAAAATTTGATATATATTATTTAAAAATTATTATTTAAATAATTAATAATATAAATTTCACATTTGAAATTGAAAGTTGTTACATACATAAGAAATTTGAAATTGATGAAATCTAATATAAAGTAGAAATCATTATTAGATTGATGAAACATGATAATATTCATTTTTGAAATAATTATATTGCATTCATTAATAGCATTTTATAGAAGATATTTAATAAATCTTAGTTTATTCATATAATGCAATGATTGAGATCTGGTATGATATTAAAATTTATAAGGATTTTACAAAATGTATAGGAGGAAAAATATAAAACATTATATATAAATGTAGACTTTAAAATTCAAAAAATCAATTTTGTGATTGTAGAAATCAGATTGGCTTGTGATGTACAAAATTGAAGTGGAGTGGTTTGAGATTTGTAGAAGTAGAATAGATTACCTTGGGACACATAGAAATCAAATAGATTGGTTTCTTCTGAACTCTTAGATATTGAACAGGTAAAATAGTTTGAAATTCATAAAAGTTAAAAAGTTTAAAGAAGAAACATATAGATATATATAGCTTGGAAACATTTATTTAAGACATCAATCAAGTGAGATAATTTGAAAAGTATAAAAATTGGATAAATTGATTTATGATACACAAAATTTGAAAATTGAAGTTCATAAAAGAAGAATACATTAAATTTTATATGAATTAATAAGTTTTATTAAAAAATCAAATAGATTGAAATTAATTCCAAATTAATTGAAGTCAAAAATAAGAAATATGAAAATTTTAAATAAACTTGGAATTCGGTCAAGATATTTGAAAATCAAAGTTTTTAGATCTTTGAAATTCTGAAATTTCTGAATCTTTGAGGAACTTGATTTTTTGATCTGGCAGATCTTAGTAATTTACAGATCTAAATGCATTTTTGCAAATATGAAAAATTGATACTGGAAATATTCCATTATAGGACATCTCGTTTTAAATTCTCAAGAAACAATGATTAAATAAATAAAGACAGTTTATCTTACATAAAACAATAATTCATATTCTTGATAATCCACTAAATTGTTTGAATTTTCTAACATGATCCATATATGAAATTTATTCAATTCTTATATCTACACAAGGCCAGCCACTTAATTATTCAAGAAACATATTTTCAGTGATGAATCTTTTTTACTGTAAGCAGGACGGCATTGATGATAACCCGATTTCTATCCCGGTAATTTAATAATAATTTATTCATAATTGAGGTCATGAATGCATGGAGATAGGTGATAATCATATCGATAAATTTCACATATTTTATACGTCTACAATACAGAAGAAAATTCAGACTATTATTGCCACATAGAAACTTAATAAGGATATATCCTATATTACACAACGTTTCTTGATAATATCCGCATTTACGAAGAAAATTAACGAGAAGAAAAAAAGGAAAATTTATTGAAATAGAGAAAATAGTACACATAATAATATACATGTATCGTGGTCGATATGTACATACACGTTTGACCATTGTTAAAAGATACAAAGACTCTTCGTAATTGTTCTTAATTTATTTTCCAGCTGGGGAAACAATTATCTGCCGTCCCATTTATTAATGGTTCATATACGAGTTAATTTCGTTAAGAGTATCAAAGACAGTGAGATACAATTTCTTTCCTCGTATCGTGAGATTTCCAACAAGACAAATCGAATTTCTAGATGAGAAATGGAACAATTCTTATAGTTATATAAACTGGATTAAATCGAAATCGATTAAAACACGTTGTTTGAACTTTGTGAAAAATTGAATAATCAAGAATATTATATATTATAATTCGCTTCAATGCAACCTGCAACGTATGAATTAAAGAATAAAAAAGATAATATAAGTCCATTATTGCAAATAAGATAAGTATTTTCATGTTTCAAAGATACCATAAAATCCCAAAATGAAATTTCGAGAATTTTCAAATTTTCGAAAAAATAAAAAAAAATTTTTTTCGTAAATCAAATTTCCCAAGCAAGCGTTACTTCTCATTTTGGAGAACGCTATAAAAATCGTGGTATAATGTTTTAATAAATTTTCGGAACCACGGTCACCAGCACTTCCGGTTAGAATAACTTTTTCTCAAACGTGAATTTACCTTTGTCCTAATGAGCGGCGATTCAGCGGCAACGATATTATGGTAATTTACCCGATAATCGATTTCGTGGAGCGTTGCTCCACGACCCTACCTGTGACCGCGATTTCACTTTTCCGTTCCTATCCGGACAGCCGCGAGGGCAATAACGTTTTATCGCGGTTACGCGCGGGCGCCGCCATAATCGCGGAGAACCGCTGGCGATTCGAGCGCCAACATATCGTAGAAAAAAGTTGAAACTTGACGATAAGACCGTATCGCTGCAACGACGCCGAGCGATTATACGTTCGGGCAACTGAGCAGTGTTAAACTTAATTTAAAGAAAAAGAAGAAAAAAAAAGCAGTGATGTGAAAGAATCTTGAAAGGAATATTGCTTTTGATCTTTTCTCATTTTTTTTTCTTTTATATACTTCGTGTGGAAGAGTGCGTGTGAGAGTTCATGTATTTTGTTAACTTTGTAGGTTAAGTTATTAAAGACATAATGCGATTCTTATGCACGTATGATTGTTTATTATTATATGATATATAGTAATTTTAAATTAAGTGATACGATTATTTAAAATTTTTGTTATCAATGGTAGTTTATTATTATCTTTGTTGTTATCTTTATGAGTTGATCAAGATTTTCCTTTCAATCAAATATTTCAATTTTTATGTATCATTATAATTCTCTTCAATTAAGTATGTATAATCATTGTTTTATGGAAATATAAAAGGAATTAAATTAATATTTGAGCACTATTGCATGCATACAGACACATTGTTACTTTCGCTTTCGTTTATCTAATGAAATTTTCGATTAAGCGATACATTGTCTAGATCTACTAAAATATATACAGATATATATCTATTTACTTTTAGAAAGAAATAAAACAACATGTATATATTGTTTATCATACCAATTCTAATTAACGTTTACGTTATATGCATGCTTCAGGCTAATTAATATAATACTTCGAATCTTTGCCATAAAAAAAATACGCAATCCAGTATTCAATCAGTTAATTATTCCTCCGTTCTGGTTTTCAGCAACGATCCCGCTAATAGGATAATAATATTTTCACCTTGGTCGCTGCGAGAATTGCATTAAATTATGTAAGAACAAGCGAACCATATTCAAAAACCAGTAAAACGAGACCCTGACATCGCTTTTATGATCCTTGTTCGTTGCAAGGTTATAAAATGTATAAGAAGTTAAGAAGATTTGCCTTGGAATGAATTTTTTTTATACTTTTCATATTAGTAATATCTATTTTTAACAGATTTTTTTTATAAGTAGATTCAATTAAAAGACTAACCTAATAATCTTAATTTAAACCAAAATGTTTATCTTGATTATAGTTTTTTTTCCCCCAATCAAACGTATATTGAAAGAAAATATTTACTTTGATTATTTTAAGGTTAAGTTAGGTTAGCTTAATTTAAGCAATTGTTATTTTACTTTATTTTGAATATTTCATACATATTTTTGCATACATATATTACTTTCTCTCATACACTCTCTCCAAATTCTTCCAAAATTTTATTTAAATTTATAAATCTCTTAATCCGTCACGAATCCTATTAAATCATTCTCCAATCGTTTCAATCCTCTCCTTCCCTTACTTAATTATCTTCAAAATGAGAATCGAAGATCGAAAGATTCGACGAAATTTTAATTTTCTGGAATAATTAATTTCAAAGAGGCCCATTATCAAAAGTCTTGCCCCCCTTCAACTCTCTCAAATAAATTGAAAAGACATTTTAATCCACGAACGTTGACAAATATTGCACGATTTCGCGCGAAACAGTCTCTATAGCGGGGATCAATTCGAATCAGTTGAAAACCAGTTTCATTAATCGAATGGATCCGAGCGTGTTGAACGGTTTCGAAAATAGCGTTTCGAAGGGAACGAATTATTCGGCTGGCGACGACAGTTCCGATTCGGGCGGGCTTTTCTTGTTCGATCGGCCGAATTTCGTGGCTCTCCCTCTGTTCACCGTCGACAAAACGCTTCATTGCCGCGGATAAAATCCCTGACATTTCCAACGTAACCATGGCCCGTCATACAGCCGAATTCGTTCGTCAAATATCACGTGCACCGGACGATCATAAGTATAGCTCGATCAATTTGGGATTTGTCCATCTTGCTATAGTACACCAAGTTTCCGACCATTTTTTTGAAATTAGAATATAGTTATCGATAAACGAATGGAAAGTTTAATTCTTACGTTTATCTTTCGATATTTTTTTTTTTAACGAATTTTTTAGATTTATTAAAATTTTCAAATATATATTATTCAAATATTCAATTCTCGTGGAATGGTTTATACAATTATATAAATAAAATTATTATTTACAACGAAATAGATACATACAATGTTAATTTTTTGTAATTTTTTTTTTTTTTTTTTGTAACTTTCGTAGTTGTCAATTAATTATTCGTTTTCAATCACATATGTTACATATTCGTTGCTCATACGATATCATCTTCTAAATTTGATTAATCGGTAAAATTAATCACGCTCGTGTAATAATTTCTTTCTCAGCTTTTTTTTTTTTTTTTTAATTACACGAGAAACCACTCGGTATGTGTAAACATATACCCGAATTTCCTACCACATCCTTCGCATCTAAGTCTTGGAAACAAGACAATATTTACCAAAAAACATCCTCTCAAACCCTGGCTACATCAACGCATCATTCTTTTCTCTGGTGAAACACCCCGTACATCTCGAGCCCTCTCGTTCCTCCTTTTCACCGCGCGGCATCTCTTTTCAGGCGTAAATTTTCTCCCCTTTTTTAACAACGACCCCTCCTCTCCCTCCGTCTGCACTCGAGCTCTGCAACTTTTAATCCTGAAGACCCTTTCTTCCACTCCGGCTGCCGGTCCGGATACTGTAACGCGGATCTGAATAACGACTCATCGAGTCGTGCAATCGACGATTACCGAAAATTGCTGTCCATTCAACGGTTCGTCTCTCGACTAATGAATTACACGATCGACCCGTGCAATTATTCTCCTCTTACTCTTCTCTCTCTCTCTCTTTTTTTCTTCTTCTTTTATTCATTGCCTCTTTGTTCCTTTGTTTCGAGATCGACAGCGCGTTAAAAAAAAAAAAAGGTATCTCGATGGTGAAAGTGATCGTCGATACGAGTAAATCAAGAGCCACGATCGTCAGCCACGAGACTTTGGCAGAAACTCGACCTTTTCGTGCAAAACTCGCTTTTGCAAACTCGATTGTGCAACTAGCGGGATAATGGTTGGTTCTTTTTTTTTTTTTTTTTTTTGTTTCGCGATCTCGTTGTTAAATAACGTGACCTTCTGTCTTCGTATCGAGATCGTTTCATTTCCTTGCAAACCGATGTTCATATAGGATATTATCTTTCGTTATCTCTTTCATATTTTTTTTTTTTAAACTTGGACAGACACGATTTAGAAAAAAGAAAATTTACTTTTGTATTGTTAATATAAATTTCACGTAAGTATTAGAAAAATACACGCGGTTAAATGTGGGATATATTTATTTATACGAGCTTTTTCTCGTTGCTCTCGTTCTGCCATCTATCGCCTAATAGATTCAATTTTTACCCCGCGTAAATTTGAATGGTGTGATTATTTTTTTTTTTTTTTTTCTTTTTCAATATATTTTGTCTGAACGAATGAAATTTGAGGGGAAAATTTTATTTTCGTCTAAATGGATGAATCAAATATAAAACTGTTCAACAGATAAATTTCATATTTCTAATCAATTTTAAATGAAAATTAAATGAACGTCTTCGACGGTTACTCGACGCAAGGTTTTCGACAAAATATCCCTATATATATATTCGCTACTCACCGCGGAATGCGTTTTAACGTTGGACAAACTGTATTTAATCGGTCGAGCGAGCATGTTTAACAATTCACACCAAACAAATAATTCCATGGTGTGAGACGTTGAAAAATTCATTCGACAAGCGTTCAAAGTTTGCAACGCGTTAAATATGCAATCGATCCAGCGGAGATTGTTCTATTCGATTATAAATCCGGCTTTAGAATTTGATTTGACGTTTGAATTGATTAAAACGTTTGAATGGAAAAAATGCTATTGGGAACGGATTATAATTTCTTTTGACGAAACTTATTGA